GTGTCTTCCTTTATAGTTCCTGGTTCTTGTATTTTTTTAAGAGTATCATTGGGTATGAACTGTTTAGCAGCCTTGTTGAAAAACACATTTCTTCACCTCTGCACCCAAGCTCATGTGGATCACCGCCAATGCCGCAGCAGCCAGTACAATACTGTCTTCCAGCCTATAATGGAAAGGAAGCATGGTTCAACAGCCTGTTGGACTGGATCTGCCAGTGCCGGGTGCTCTGTAAAGATAGTAAAGATAAGTTATTACCTCGCACTCTTCCACTGTTTATGCAAGCCATCTCAGACGTCTCAGCTAGCAAATAGTGAAAATTAGTTTTGAGTTTCAGTGTTGGTCAAAGTAAAGAGACTTTCAGAGTGTTTTCAGCAGGGAATCCCTGAGATGGCTCCATCCGGCGCCGCCTCACAAACTGAGCTGGAGCAGTTTGAATCTGCAGGAGTTGCCCTAGAGCAGGGGTGCCCAATCCCAGTCCTCGAGAGCTACCGTCCTGCAGCTTTTAGATGCATCCTTGTTCCCACACACCCGAATCAAATGAATGGCTTGTTATCAGGCCTTTGCCAAACATGATGGCATGCTGAAGAGGTAATCAAACCATTTGATTCAGCTGTGTTGGAGTAGGGATGGATCTAAAAGCTGCAGGATAGTAGCTCTCGAGGACTGGGATTGGGCAGCCCTGCCCTAGAGACTCTGCCCACACCACAACCTGAGCAACCAGAGACGGACTGCTCTAAGCAACCGGAGCCAGCTAACTGCTCTGGAATGTCTCGATGCACGCTCAATCATCCAGGGCAGGAAATCCCAAAAGGTTGATTCTGTTCATCTGGATGTTTTCAGTGGGACAAATGTTTCGTCATCACTGACATCTTCAGTCTCAGCTGACTGCAGGTTTCAATCTTATAAGCAGCATATTTGCATAATGAGCTCCCAGCCCACTGAAGGAACAATGGGCTGGGAGGTCAGTTCCTTGATCATTAATATGCAAATTGTCATGACCATTGATCAGCGACCACTGATCAAAGACCAGTGATCAATGTCCATGAGTACCATTCACAGAGAGTTGGTCAGGCTCGAGGGCGAGTGTCTAGTTGCTGAGCCTTAGCCCATGAGCCCCGGCTGGGCTCAGCCCAAAGCAACTATGTGCATGTGTGTGCGCGCGCGCACGTGCATGTGTGTGCGCACGCACGCACACACATGCACGTGCGCGCGCGCACACACACACAATGCTGGATTACTTACACCAAACTCCATGAACAGGTCCTCGTCCTTCTCTCCAAGGAAAGTGATAAGGCAGCAGATGGCTACTTCTCTGTGTGTTTCGATTGTATTGTACTATAGAAAAAATAAAGTATGAGTATAAAATACATGGGTGACTGCCAACAAAGTGCATTTCAAAGATACCCAAAGTCTAAATAGTTGTCCTACCTCAAGAAGCATGTCCTTGATCTGCCTGATTCTCACTCCCTTAGCTCCTCCCCTTGATAAAATGACATCCATCAGTTTTGGGGTGCAATGGTCAAGTGTAGCCATTCAAGGCTTACAGTGGTTATTCTCTTGAACGCCTCCTTTATCTGTCGACCACACAAACACAAGAATTAAGCCTTGCAGACTATTAGCTATACTGCATTAATGAATGCTCTAATACATTAGTTAAAGAAAGAAAGAATATGCTTGTGCAAATGGGTGTGAATGGGTGAATGTACAAGTTGTATAAAGTGCTTTGAGTGCTCAGAAGAGTAGAAAAGCGCTATATAAGAACCAGTCCATTTACCATAACCATGGCGTAATCTGTAATGTTTTGTAGAGGTTAGAATTTTGTTCACTCCCAGCCCATTTTGTAACAAATGTGTCCCAACTTAACACTAATGACCCTCGATTATCACACTATACTAACTGCTTACACAAAGTCTTGATGTTAAGTAGATTCACATAGCCTATGCCAGAACGATGCTACTGGAATGACATTAACAATATTTCACACAACCTGATTTTTCAAAAAGAAACAAAGATAGCTGCAGCTCTTAAGATCAAGAACAATACTTACTTTAAGCTGTATCACAATAGTAACCAAAATCATTTACAATGTAATATTACGTATAGGTCATGCAAATTTTATAAAGACATAAAATAGGTGAGCCAGAGGGAAAAAAGAAGCCTCTAGGTTATCCTCTGACAAAACTATTCACAGCTTAAAGGCTTCTAATTTTGGTAAAAAGAAAAACAAAATCAGCCTATGATCAAAATGAGATTGCACTGTGTAGCAGAACTTTAGCCACGCTTTTCCTGGCCACAGCAGTGCTCTCTAGCTGAAGACTTTTGTCAAATGAAACTATAAGTCTTATCCTCTGCTGTGCTAAGTTTAGAATGGCTAGCATTAGCCACATGTGGTAGTGCAAAATATCTCCTTAAATGTATGAGCATCACATCATCCAGTACAAGTGAGTAGCACAAATGCTTTGCTTTGTTAGAACTGTAAATGAAATGTTATTTACCTGGAAATGTCTTTTACAAAAGCTTGCAAGTCCACCATGCAACGCACCGTATGTGAATTTGTCCGGGCTAGTTAAGTGGGAACTTGAAATCAGAAGTTACAGTGGAAATAAAATAAGTTATCTATTCAATTTCTTTAAGTAATTACAACTTGAATTTTATTTTGAACCCACTAACATCGGGATTTAATTTGAAATTACATATAAAATTAATTTAATTTAATTATCAACATTATTAATTCAACACAACCAAAAAAGAAAGTTTGCAACTTAGAAGGTCTGTCTTAATCAGTGTTGGGACTAACGCGTTATTAAGTAACGCGTTACAGTAACTACGTTATTATTGTGGTAACGAGCACGGTAACTAGTTATTATGCCAAAATCAGGAACGCGTTACTCGTTACTGGGAGTAACATTAGCAAGTGGTGGAGGCAGCAGGTGG